ATCAGGAAAGCTAACTTGAGCCTTCAGCTCAGGTGAGCTAAAAATGTTTTGAATCAAGACAATTTTAGAAACAAATCTAAATATTTACATTCATTAGAAAAAACGATAGTGATCATATGCCAAGATATACAGAGGGAGAACATTTTGTCATTTGTGATGCTAAAACAGCAATTATCTTTGATTTCAAATGATTATATAAGTGTTTGGTAATTTATTGTTTCAGATAATTATATTGACATATTAGATACATTAAAAACAATATAAAAATATCATTAATAATTGAATATCATTGATAACTGCTTATTCAATATTAAAATAATTAATATTAAAATATTAAATACATCTTGCAATTTGTAAAAATTATTTTTAATTAAAGATATAATTTACTAGGGGCTCTTTGAGTATGACTATAAAATGATGTTCTATAACTTGCCATCATAACCTTGGGTCCCATTCCCACCTTAGATCAAATGATAAGATTTTTAATCGCTACGTAGATGGCCATGCAATCAATGTTAAATTACTTGCTTCCATAAAATATTCATGTTCAATGCACCATGTATTAATAATGTACTTTAGCTACCTGTAAGTACTAGTGACCTTAACCATACTTATATGACCTTTGTTTAGTTGTGACATGGAAACCTATGAAAAGGGGGGTAACTTAATTTTCTTCTTCATCTGCAAATACAAAATTGGGTTGTCTCCCTTTCATTAGCAAGTGACTACAATTGATTACTGCAGTATTATTTGGCGTCTAAGATATATTAACAAAGAAAAAGTGAATCTTAAACTTCATTATGTACATGCATTTTAAGTTTGAATACTGATGGATATCTCCCTATTTCATCTAGAAGTTTCTCATACAAATGTCAATACAGTATATACATAGTGTAGATTTCCCCCACACCTGCTGCAGAAATACACAACATCCCTAGACAGACTTGTGTTAATGTCAATGGTGTCTATATCAAACGGTCAACATTAGTACAAATTGTCTTCTATTTTAAATGTTAGAATTTACTTGAACTGAATACTCGTACATTATAAAACTTAAGGATATTGTAATAATTAGAGAAGATTCTAAAATTTAATCCACTTACTACATGTACTTCTCAAAAATCAATCATACTACACTATTTGTATTTATCAAACAAAACAGCACAAGATTTCAAAAGTTGGTAATTATACCCCATTGACAATATATTGTACAAAAACCATGAACAAGCATCAATGTACATCGTATGAATCAGTGATTGAAGAGTTACACACAACACCTGAACACTATTAATTACATGTAATTACAAACCAGATGTAAATCTATCAATTCTTATTAATATATTTATGATGTTTATAGTCATAAACTTTATCTTTAACATCTCTTGTTTGCTGTTAACACATTGATTAATTATTTGTGATTAAACTTAAACACTGGTAAATAAACACTTAAATCATGATATGTACATGTACTAGTACAATAACTAGTTATTCTTTGATAATCCCCCTCACATAATGTAATTATTAATTAGTATAGATGTTATAATTATACAATACAATTAAACAGACTACAATGTTACTTACCAGTCAGAGAGTCTGTATCTACCACTCTGTATATGTTGACTGTGTTGTTGTACCGTGACCCTACCCACAGTAGGTGAGTGTCATCATCATAACTCAGGCCCCGTGGTAAGTCTATCCCGTGTTGTACTGTCAGTATCTCTGTCAGATAGTGACCGTCACTATCTAACATATGTACTGACTGGGTGATAACATCACACACCAGGATGTGTGACAACGCGTCAGTACAGATTCCTAGTGGTAATTGTCCTGATCCTGATGGAGGACCTGTGTAGGAGAACCAGTATTTACCATCGCAATCTGTCACCACTACAGCACGACGGAGAGAGTCAGACACAATAACATCTCCATTGCGGTTCTCTGTGATATATCTAGGATATCTATACAGTCCCTGACCTGTGATGTTGTTGTGCTGTATGGTCTGGATGTTTTCTCCTGTGGAGTTATACCGCACTACCTTGCCTGTCCGTGGCCATGTATCAGTATTATACATCGCGACCAGCAGGTCTCCAGTGGAGGGGGAGCTGTAGACACACTGTGGTCTCCATGGTGCTGTGTTGCTGTACTTTATTATCGTAGTCTTATCTTTGTTATCTGTAGACAGTTTAATGATGTTAAATCTACTGTCTATATAAATTAAATCACCGTTAGAGTCCACTGTGTGTCCTCCCAATACACTAGCTATATATGTCACGCGATTTAGTTCTTCTCCTCTTGTGTTTGTCAGTATAAGATTGCCTTTATTATCACTGATCCAGACCCGGTCTGTAGACACGTGTGAAATGTGATCACACTCACTAACACCGGACACTGTGACAGATTTCTGTAACACTCCTCTATACATCATTGACAGCAGACATCTATTTCTTTATCCTGATGTTTTATAACAAAATCCTGTGTTGATTTCCTCAGTCAGGGAGAT